CTGAGCCAAAACAGTTAGGGCTCCCTGTAAATTATGATTTAATAAAACAAAACAAAAACTGTGTTGTCCATACAAAAGAGAAAGCTGGGAATGACTTTCTTTTTTTGTAATGAATGCTATATGAGGAAACGCTTGTGTTCCAAAACCATCTCTGAAAAAGAAAGGTGCCTAGGAATCATTCTCTCTGCCAAAAGAGAACAGTGCAACATTTTGGCTAATTAAAAAATAACATTCTTATGTTTCATATGTGCTTGCTGAGAGAGCTGGTTATTACTGTTGGCAGGTTGACAGTATCTACTTAATCACTTACCAGAAAGGAACGAAACAGAAAGAACAACAAAAGGAGGTGAAGCAAAGTTGAGTAAAAGGCATGAACACATTGTTGCTGCATCCATCCTAAGCACAGGCAAATGAGGTGACGCTGTCAGAACTCAGGCTAATGCTTTACTGATGGGGGGCTTCCGAGACTGCTCATGTTCACGGCCACTTGTTGCTGGTTAAAGTGTGCTGTTTCTATTCAATACATAAGCACAGACTAGGCGTTTTTCTCTGCTTCATATCAATAGTTAACACACACACACACACACACACACACACACACACACACACACACGGCAAGGTGCAGAGATTTAAATATGCAAAGTCTAGTTCTAAAAAGGTGTTTTGCCGGAAGAAACATTTTACTCGCACCTATTGCCCAAGTAGAGGGCCATGGCAGTGTAGGGGCATCTCTCAGGATGGACCTTAAAATCTACCATTTTCCAAGGTACAGAAAGCAGAGAGAAATAATTTCCACTAGCTCGAAGCTGAGGTCAGAGATGGTGAATCATCAGAGCCAGGAACACACTGGCTCACCCCAGATGACTCCATCGACATGCAGGGCCCGACCCGTTTCCAGACTGCTGGTTTTCTTGGCTTGAAAATGAAATATTTTAATCCTCCTTGTGCTTACAATTTTACAAATGGGACCTGCTGAATTCCAGAAGTTTCACTTTCATATTTGTAGAGGTTAGCAGATAAATTTTTGATTTCTTGTCAAAATAATATTGCCTTGGACTATGCCCCAAATAGGTATAAAATGCATTCAAATGTATACATGCGAATTCAGTAAATAAAATTTTGTGTTTAAAATAGTCAAATCCTTTGACCCACATCACATTTCCATTTTTTTTTCTAAATAATTACATAAGTACCTACATCACTCACATGGAGCACATACACAGCAGTAATGAAGTAAAAAGTAAAAAAAAAAAAAAATTAAAAGAAATAACAATTCCTAACCTTTACTTGTGGTAAATAAATAATAAAAAACATAAAGCACATATGTACATACATCAAAATGACGGAACTTTTTTTTTTTAATAAATAAATGGGAGATGGCAATGTAACCATGAAACAACGTACGTCGAGTCCGATGTAACCCAAGGACTGCCTGTAATAAAGATTATGCCTCATCCATACCAAAAACAAAATGTATTTTTAAAACATGCTTTTGAAGAATAGTTATTGATATAGTAAAATGTTAAAGAATATTATTTAATAAAGATCAGGATATAAAACATATACAATGGACTTAATTTTTAAAGAATTAAGCAAATCCTATCTAATAAAAGAGAAAGATGGTAATTAGCCATACCTCCGCTACCCTTCCCATTGGCTAATCAGGGCAATATGCAAATTAACTGCCAGCCAAGATTGCGGCGGCAGCCAGGCAGCTTGAAGCAAACATGAAGCTTGCTTGCTTCAGTGATGGAGGACTCCAACATTCCCCGCCTGCCGCTGCCGGCCTCTGAGCTTGCAGTTTGAAACACTGTTACAAATATAGAAGCTAAACAAAACCCCAGAAACCTGCTTTCAGCCAGCCAGGATCTCAGAGCTGGAGTTGAAACAGTGTTTCGGTTATAGAACCCAAACAAACCAGATACCTACTTTCAGCAGCCGAGGCCTCAGAGCTGGAGCCAAGCCTCAGAGCTAAAGCTGGCCCAGAATAAAAAAAAAGAAACAAAGGAGCGGTTGGGAGCTTCAGTCACCCCCAGCCTGAAAACAGCCCTCAGCCCCTCACCCAGGCTGGCCAGGCACCCCAGTGGGGACCCCCACCCTGATCCAGGACACCCTTCAGGGCAAACCAACCGGACCCCACCCGTGCACCAGGCCTCTATCCTATATAGTAAAAGGGTAATATGCCTCCCAGCACCGGGATCAGCGTGACAGGGGGCAGCGCCCCAACCCCCTGATCGGCCCTGCTCTGTGTGTGACGGTGCGGCGCCCCAACCCCCCCCAACGGGCCCTGCTCTGTGTGTGACGGGGTAGAGCCATAACCTTCCCATTGGCCCTGCCCTGAGTGTGACAGTGGCGGCGCCCCAACTCCCCTATCGGCCCTACTCTGTGAGTGACAGGGGGGAGCTCCTCAACCCCCTGATCGGCCCTGCTCTGTGCGTGATGGGGTATGGAGCCCCAACCCCTCTTATGGGCCCTGCTCTGTGAGTGACGGGGCAGCGCCCCAACCCCGATTGGCCCTGCTCTGTGCGTGACTGAGGGTGGCATCGCAACCTCCTGATCTGCCCTGCGCTGTGCTTGACAGGGGGCGGCGCCCCAACTCCCCAATCGGCCCTGCTCTGAGCCTGACCAGGGGCTGCACCTAGGGACTGGGCCTGCCCTCTGCCACCCGGGAGCAGGCCTAAGCCAGCAGGTTGTTATCTCCCGAGGGGTCCCAGACTGCGAGAGGGCACAGGCCGGGCTGAGGGACACCCCCCCCCCCGCCCAAGTGCACAAATTTTTGTGCACTGGGCCTCTAGTTATATTTATAAAAATTTATCAAGATATTTCTGACATCTCCTTTTACTGCTTTGTTTTAACACTAGGTGAAGATTTTAAAACTCTCCAGGAACTATGTTAGTATGTACTACTCTGGTAGCCAGCCTCCGAAATGGCTAGTATGATGATTGATTATCCCACCTCCTGGTATTCACACCTCCTGGAGTCCCTATCCACGCTGTACCAGGGTTGATCAATGAGGAATAGAATATGGCAGAGATGTTATATCACTTCCAATATTAGGTTACAGATGGCTTCCTTTCCTCAGACCATTCATTCTGGGGGAAGCCACCTGTTAAAACATGAAGACACCCAGGCAGCCTAAGTAGAGGACCCTATGTTGAGAGACTGAACCCTCTGGCTAAAAGTTAGCAAGAAACTAAGGCCCATGAGTCACCACTGTCAGCCTGGAGGCAGCTCCTAGAGCAGGGGTGGGCAAACTTTTTGACTCCAGGGCCACAATGGGTTCTTGAACTGGACTGGAGGGCCGGAACAAAAGCATGGATGGAGTGTTTGTGTGAACTAATATAAATTCAAAGTAAACATCATTACATAAAAGGGTACGGTCTTTTTTGTTTGTTTGTTTTTATTCATTTCAAACAGGCCCGGCCCTCGGGCTGTAGTTTGCCCACGGCTGTCCTAGAGCCTCCAGATGACAGCAGCTCCAGCCAACAGATTGACTGCAACTAAGGGAAAGGCCCTGGGCTACAAATTCCCTAGCTAAGCCCCACCTGGGTTCCTGGCCCACAGAAACTATGACATAGTAAGTTTGTTGTTAAGCTGCTGAATTGGGGGATAATTTGTTACACAGCAATAGATAGCTAATGTAACTCCTTTGATAATTTAAAGTTTCTTTTTAAAAAAAAGAAAACAGAGTCTTTCAGAGAAAGAAAGCGCTTTGGGTTTGAGGATTCACTAAGTCCTTGCTATATGAGTAATCCGTCCCTCTCTTGGCTGCTTACTTAAGATCACTATCTCAAGTTCCGTTTGGAAAAATACTCTGTGCTAGAAAATGTTAAATATTTAGTATTCTGTAATTGCTACGTTTATAGATTAGAAATAGATTTTCCAGATGTTTATTCATTAGCAGTGCTGGTTTTAAAAACTTTTGCTTAAACCAGCCGTGGGTAAACTACGGCCCACGGGCTGGATCCGGCCCGTTTGAAATGAATAAAACTAAAAAAAGAAAAAGACCGTACCCTTTTATGTAATGATGTTTATTTTGAATTTATATTAGTTCACACAAACACTCCATCCATGCTTTTGTTCCGGCCCTCCAGTCCAGTTCAAGAACCCATTGTGGCCCTCGAGTCAAAAAGTTTGCCCACCCCTGGCTTAAACTGTTAGAAACTTATATTGTTATAAAAAATAATTTGACAACAGAACATAGAAAAAAAAGCAGATATGGACGCTAAAGATGGGAAATTGAGTTCAGTCATAGTCACTAACTCGATGACCTTGGTCACCTTCGAAATTATGGGGCAAAGTCAGATATCCTCCAGTGCAGTAGCCTTCTTACCTTTTACTCATCACCCCCTAAAATAAAGGGAAACCCTTGTACATGTTGGCACATAAAATTAAATATAAAAAAATATAAAACATAAAAGTTGGCATACAACTGTTATCATAAATTGAATGTAATTTTTAACATCTTATCTTTAAATATATTTTTGTCAAAATATTAGCTGAAATGTCATCTGTGTAGGAAGTCATGTTAGGTAAAGAAATAAGAGTTCTGAGAATATAGGCCCAGATTTTTATAAAGCCATTTATTTAAAAAAACTGGTTTGTCAAATCACATACACAAGCAGATACACAACTACCAAAGTGGCCCTGTAATAGACACCAGTGGGGCGTTCACCACACAGTACCTGAAAAATACAGCTAAAAAAGAGGAGTCTGTTGAGTAATTCAGATTCCTACTGGACTCCCGGTTGAATGGCTTTAAGTTAGCATATAGTGAGTGAGAGGTAGAGTCCCAAGTATAATAGCTGATGCCTCAGGGCTCCATTTAAAAACAAAACAAAAACAAAAACCATTTGCCCCCTCTGCACAAGGGAAACCTATCCTATTTTTTTTTTCCTTTGTGAAAACAAGCCAAGTTTCTCTTCTCGAATGGTTCAGCATTCCCAATCCAAGTGTTGTGTGATGACCTAGGCATTGTGCTTCTCCGGCCATCTAATTGTCCTCACCTTCCGATTCAGATTCTAGGGGAGAAGAAAGGAAAGTCATGATTGTTGTTGTTTTCTTTCTTTTAAATAAGGCCAGGAGAGTCTCTACTGCACTTCTCTCCCCTGACCCCCTCCCCACTCCCGAGACATTGTTGTCCCAGGTATCCATTTTCTAAGTAACATAGTTAGATATGAGGGCAGGTAGCAAACTTTTGTTCCCTTTGCTTTGAAATGAACTTGGCCTTTCTAAAAATGCAATATCCTTATACTAGTAAATACTTTTAGAGAATATAACTACTTTTATTTTTTAAATCAGCTAAAATAAACTTTTCATTCTTACTTGCATTTAATCTCATACATTATTCTTACAATTTGTGTTCCCATTTCAAATATCAGTCAACTGGTGAAGGTCCTTATAAAAATCTATATAATCCCATAATGTGATTAAAATAAATGTATTGTTTTCCCTTTCAGATCTAATTATTTCTTCCTCTTTGTTCTCCATTAGAGTGGATAATTTAAGAGGGCCGTTTCTTTTTTTGCCATGTAGAGATTTTCATTGCCTTGATTCAGAAACAAAGGCTAAGATGTAGGCTGAGTGTTTGATATGGAAGACACTTCAAGACCTTTAGTTTTAGGAAAGCAAGAAAAATCTGTGGAAGACCAGCTGTCTTGAATTATAATGAGATAGGATTTGCTAAATGGCCACCAAAGTTGTTCAATGGAATCATACCTTCTTCTGCATTTTGCAACCACTCAACAAATTTCTTCATCTGGTCAAGAAAAACACTTTTGCCTTTGGCCACGTGTGCTTCTTTGTACCATTTCAATATCGCTTCTTCACTCAGCACATCAGCTGCAATTTCAAATCAAAGATTTCAGTTACTACACAAATGTCATGGTTTAAAGCAACTTCCTGACATCTACTTTAATAGAAAGCAATCACTTTAACATTGAACGCTCTGTTATAAAAGAAATCCATACCTCAAACTTACTAGAAGACAGGAACCAAGCTCATTTCCATATAGAACAGTGGCATATTTTGGCATTTTAGCTTAGTAAGTAGTGATGATGATGATACCTCTCATCAGTCATGATATAATGCAGGCCTATATGCAAGTCACACTGGGACTTGGAAACCTCTTAAAGTCCAAATTTGCTGGTAGGAAACAGTGTAGATATTTTGTAATTTTGCAAATGACTCAGCAATGTCAGCATTTCAGAACACTCTGTATCCTGCCAACTTCAAACAGATCTTGATTAAGCAGCAACCTCAATGACTGGACTTTTTAGGGGGATGTACTATTTTAGGAAAAAAGAAGGGCAAATAAAAAAATGTAGACAGGATGCAATAATGATAGTAATAATTAGATATAAAGATGAGCTTCCTAGGTGTATCATGGGACCAATACACACATAACCCAAAGTTCTACACTCACCCTATCGCTAAATTACTGATTTTCCTACAGTATCATATTCTAAACTGCAATAGTAATGTTTTCCTTGTACTCTATTAAGAGAAAAACAGACATATTAGACCAATTTTCTACAGGTTTCTAACAAAAAGTATTATCTATTACCTATCAATTACCTAAAACTTTAAATTACATGAATATGCCTTGATAGCATAAAGTTATGGTTAATTTAGAAAAATGTAATGTTAAGAATGGGAAGGGGAATATCAAAATAATAGCATACATACATTACCAATGATCTAATGGGTTGGTTTTGGGGATTTGAGTGGGAAATGAGATGCAAAGCCAATAAAAAGGATTTATTATTGTCCCTAATACCTATCCAATCCATTACAACACTGATAAGTTACTCTAATAATGTATTTGCAGTCAAAATATAATTTAACTTATGAAAACAAGATAAATGATTTCATAATTTTTATTTAAAATATCACTGATCTTTTTATAACAAAATCTTATTTTTTCTAAATTAATAAGTGGCTCTTGTATTCAACTGAGGAAATCAAATTGGCTAAAAATGCACACAATTGGTCTTAGACAATATAAGGTTTTTATTTATTTTAATAATTAAATATACTACATTTTGCGAAGGAAAGAGGAAGTCTGGATATAAAAACTGGATATAAAAGATTGAATCAGGAGTCCTATGGAATTACTCTTAGCTTCTAGTCTTTTAGCTTCTTCTGTTCCCACCTCCACATCCTCCACTCACAACGATGAGAAAACTTCCCCACCCACTTTCCATCAAAACCTAGTTTTTCTAGAGGCGAGGAGCCTGAGGAAGTGACTTGTTTCTGTGCAAGAATGCTTTACAGAGATTTTTCAACTACTTAGCTTAAACACAGATTTAAAGTCTCTCTTATATAATCTATCTCTCTGACATCTTTAAGATGCTTGATTTAGAACAGCTATCTCCCAATTGTTTGGATCATGCTCCCCTATGAGACAGTTTTGAGCATGTACACCCAACATATGTATATTTTTCAGTTTGTAAATTGTATGTATGTCCTATAGAACTATTATTATTAATGTCATAAAACAAAAAATAGAATTAAAAGTGTGGCAAACATGTAAAGGGACATTCTATTTTTCTGCTCACCTTAATGAATTACATCTGGTACAATGTACATGTTGGAAAGCTGGTTAAGACTGCGTTTAGTAATAGTATTTGGGTATTTCCTTCTGAAGTTCAGAGCTCATTCCTGTGTTTTACTGCCCCCCAGAGGCTGAAAGAGGCCATGCAATTACTAAAACGCTTGTCAAGGACAATTGTGAAAAGGATACAAAGTAAAACTTACCAGATGTATTGTCCATTAAAAACCAGACAGTGTAAATTTGAGTTTGTAGAAGAACCTAAGTTAGTAATAAATACTTGCTGCTAGACTAAATTTCTAGTGTCTGGTAATAAATAATAAACATGGGCCAGAAGCAATCACACAGGGCAACTTATGAGGCAAAACATGAACATCATTTAAGAAATTCAACTTTTGTTTAGTGAAAAGTCTAATCTAAAAAGGAAGGAAACTCCTTGAGAATGAAAAAAAAGGCATATATTTTTTTTTCCTCTAAGGAAGAGTGGAGAAGAATCAATTAAAATTGGGAGACTAGAGGATTATGCTAAGCAAAATAAGCCAGTCAGAGAAAGATAAATATCACATTATCTCACTCATATGTGGAATCTAATGAACAAAATAAACTGATGAACAAAATAGATCCAGAAACACAGAAGCATGGAGCAGACTGATGAATCTCAGAGGGAAGGCAGGGGTAGTGGGAAGATGTAGTAGAGCTCGGGAAGTATGTCTCAGCGCTGCGGCTGATGCAATGGTGTGAGCACACTCCACCATGACATGCTTCCTCGGCACACCAGGAAGTAGCAACGCCCCGCCTGAACTAACTCCTAGAGCCACATGCATAGTACCCCAGCCTTTCAGCCACTGGTCGCCTATAGCAATGTGTCTCCCTCTGATTGGTCGCCTATAGCAACGTGTCTCCCTCTGATTGGTCCCCTCATGCTATATATACCCCTGTGGTTCCTCAATTAAACGGATCTGCGTCAATGAACCTGGTACCCGGAGTTGTGCATGCAGACGCCCTAGCGCGTTGGGGCTCCGTCGTCCTCACCCCTGAGGGATCCCCTGCTTCAGGAAGAGATCAACCAAAAACTTCTATACATACTAGAGGCCCAGTGCATGAAATTCATGCACAGGATGGGGGGTCCCTCAGCCCAGCCTGCACCCTCTCCAATCTGGACCCCCTTGGGGGATGTCCGACTGCGGGATTGGGCCCAAACTGGCAGTTGGACATCCCTCTTGCAATCTGGGACCACTGGCTCCTAACCACTCACCTACCTGCCTGGTTGCCCCTAACTGCCCTCCCCTGCCTGCCTGGTCAGCCCTAACTGCCCTCCCCTGCCGGCCTGGTCGCCACTAACCGTCTCTGTCTTGGCCTCCGCCACCGTGGCTTTGTCCAGAAGGATGTCTGGAAGATGTCCAGTCTAATTAGCATATTACCCTTTTATTAGTATAGATATGTGTAACCCATGGACATAGGGTGATGGAGGCCTGGGGTGGGGGGCAGGCTAGAAGGGGTCAATGGGGAAAAAAGGGGACATATGTAATACTTTCAACAATAAAGATTTAAAAAATAAAATAAAACAAAATTGGGAGACTATAAAGTCTTCGTTAGGATTTCCCAGAAATGCCTACTAAGAATATATGTCAATAGAAGTACTAAGACAGACATCCAACTGCAGCGTTCCGAGATTAAAATACATTTCTCTCCTAGCTGGCTAGCTTCTTCATCCCAGCCCTTTCTTTTCCCTCCAAATTAGCTTCACCTGTGAGCTGGGTGCCCTTTCAAGGGCACCCCACCACTCCTCAGCCCTCTGTGGGAGCCTTATTTCAGCAACTGACATGCTGACTCTAGTTCCTGGCTTTCTCCTACACTGAAATTCAGGAAGTCAGGGACTATTTAATTTCTAGCATTTGACAAAACAACTGTCAAACTGTCAGTTAGGACTACATTCAACCCATGTGTAATGGACAAATTCATTCACTTGAGAAAAACTAAGTAATTCTCAATCTACAGTTATAATTTAAATCTCAGGTTTTCATTAGGATCAAAGAGACAACATTGTAAAAGTGGTTTGAGAATTGCAAAGCTTTAGGCAACATTAGTTATTTAGATATTAAAGTTGAATACTATGTCATTTGGAACTCAGGAAATTCAGGAATTTTATTAGAGATGCTATACTGGAACAAAGTAAAAAAATAATTTATCTTAAGAATGCTGGGAATATATGGTGAGAAGGCCATTCACCTTTCTTTAGAACAAGAATAAGAAACATTTTAGGAAAGTTTGCATGAAAGACAGAGTTTAACCTAAGAAATTTCTGCACCTGATAAAACACACAATGGAAATAACAGTCCTTGAGAATTTGGTATTCTACTTTCAGACCTCCATGCTGAGACTAGGGTACTTAGCTTCAAGAAGGAAGAGACATTATTATTTAAAGTGAATAATGTGATGTTTGAAAATTAATGATAAATTTATTATTTTTCCTTAGTGTCTCAGAAACATAAAAATCCAGGTTTTAATACAGAAAGTGAATTTTCACTAAATGAGCAATTACCTTTTTTTTTTCATTGCTGAAAAGCATTATTGTAGTTTATTCACTTTTATGACACTGTTATTTATATAAAATATTTTAAAATCTTTCAATAATGACATTCATTAAAATAACTAGGTTTGTCAAAGGGGACATGAGTAACCACATCCTCAACTATCTGTTGTCCTCTTGCTCTGGATTTATGGGGAAGTTTTGAGAGAGAGAGAGAGAGAGAGAGAGGGAGAGAGAGAGAGAGAAATGAGAGAGATTAAAATAGAAAAGGAGGAGTTTCATAATTTTAAAACTTGCATTGAAGCAAAGATGTTCCTTATCTTACCTAATAATAGACAAACATGTAAATTGACCATACCTTCACACCAACCAGCCAATCAGGAGAGTATGCAAATTAACCCAACAAAGATGGTGGTTAATTTGCATACATAGGCTCCAAGTGGTGGAGCGAAACCTGATGGCCCCGGGGCCGGCTCTGGCCAGAGCCCGGCCAGAGCGAAGGCCTGGGTCCCGGGTGCCAGAGGCAAACCGGTGCCAGCAGCCAAGGGAAGGTAAGGCCTATTGCTCGAATCTCTTCGTGCAACGGGCCTCTAGTAATAAATAAAAGGAATCCATATCACTAGAGCAAACAGACACAGTTTGGTATTTGTAAAATGTATATGTGTGCATGGAATTAGTGGTAAGTATGATCTTAAATGTGCTACCATAGTTCATGGAATTTATTCCTCTGACATCAAACACCTTTTAGGTGGTGGCCCCAGACCAATGTCACAGTACCACCAGGAAATCTATTAAGAAGCGAATTCTCAACCCTAATCCGGGACTTAGGGCATTAGAACCCCTGAAGATCTGGGCTTTTAACAAGCTCCCCATGTGATTCATTTGCAAATCAGAGCTGGGAAAGGAGTGCTTTAATGGACTTTCATCAAGCATTTCTAGACATGCAAAATACATGCAAAAAGCGTCCAAATCCTTATAAAAGCAATAAAAATAAATGTCTCTTGGTGCCTACGTGTTTGTGGGATGAAATAAGGTCAGAGTAAAAACCGCCTTTCAAATCAGGAAAGAAGGTAAACACATAACTTTCTTAACAGTGGTATGGAACAATCACTCCTGGGGCTCCTGCTCTCAGGAGAAAACGTGTAACCATTTCATGCAGACAACAGACTGTATGCATAAATCTGAAAATTATGTAATTACCAAAAAAAAAAAAAGACATTCAATTTAAACACCTCAGTGATATATTTAAAAGTTTCCTGATTTCATTTCCAAAAGCAACTAGGCAAGAATAAAATGATGTTAATACTTACCTTCCTGTGTTCCCTTGGGCCTGCTCATACTTGTCACAGACCTTACTAACTTTAGATTACTTAAAAGGAGTACAATGGGGAAAAATGTTGACATTAACGGTTAAAATGAGAAATCTGAAGAAGAACTGTAAAAGCTCACATGTGTGGAGGAGAGAATATTCCATGATGGCCACTGTCTGTCCTATGAGATGGACCCAGGCCAGAACGGAGACTGCTTACCACAATCCCTCACCTTAGAGACGACTGGATCATAGTCAATGTTCATTCTGCCAACAACTCAGTCCCCTCCACCACCTCCTGTAACGTGCTGGTCCCTGGAACAGGCCAATGCCCTGACCTGGTCAAGTAAGTAATTACCTGTTCCTGGTAGCACTCAGTACTAGTACCCATGACTATCCCCCCTTTTCCCTATATAATTCTTTGGTAGCATTCACATACTAAATCCCCCCCCCCCCTTGCCCCCCACACCGGAATCATATATAATTCTTTGATGCCTGCCAAGTGGCAGGGAGGAAATCCACTTCATCTTGCAGCTGCCCAGGAAACACCTCCTAGGGAAGTTTCCCCTAATAAACTCTTAATTACCAGCCTGGAGTGGCCTGCCTCTTTCTCCAGTCTTTCCCTGCCCTCTGCTTATGAAGGTAGATTCTCAGTCTTGGGGCTTTTCCCTGGGTCTCTGTGTACTAACAATATGCAACCTAGAGGTCATTACTGATAAAAAGTAGTTTGTTTATTCTGTTGTAAATTAAATACAATAATAAAATTAGGTGCTTCTATAGATGAGGCTCAACAACTATGTCTAAGTTTTAAAAAATTTGGTTAGAGAAACTGGTTGGTGGGGTTAGCAATTAAACAGCAAGAAAGGAAAATGTATGCTTAGGCTACCAGTTTATAAACAGTTTGATTTTTTTTTCTATAGCAGAAAATACTGACCACCCATAAAGCCAATGTAGAACCCATCTTTACCAGTTTCTATAAGGAGCCAGCAGTGACAGTGGGGACAGAATGCCCACTGGGTGGGGGGCCCTGCTTCTTTTTCTTGGCTGCTGGGTACCATAGGTGGGCTGGTAACATGAGCTGCAGGTTTGGTTCTCATGGGTCACCCTGGGTAACATTTAAGCTTTCATTTCAAGACATTGTTATCTAATGACTACATCCAAGAGGACCTAATTCAGATCTGGCCAGAGAAAAACATCAACTCCTGAACTTCAAGTGGGACTTGCCAGTTATCACATTCTTCTCCTGATAAAAGTACATAAACACAGACCAAAGGATAGTCCAGGATCATTTTTATATGCTGTGGGTACAGATTGAAATTGGTTAAAACCCTAGCATTCATTAAAGGCAGTGCCAATTGTCACGGCAAACTTAATCCTTAAAAATACAATGAAAAGAACAGTAAATGTGAATATCTAAAAATAGCCATTTCCTTGGAAAATAGGAGAATGGCTGGGACAAATAACTAAAATAGAAAGTAAAAGGGCTAATTATTTCAGAGATTTTAAAGTCAGCTTTATGGTATCTGAAACAGTCTGAATATAACTTAACATTTTAATAATCACTGTTATTAGGGCTAATCCTTATAATTAAAAAACAGACCTAATTACTTGATGTAATTACATTTTTCACACACACCCTCCAATAATAACCAGTTCATCCCCAATTCCACCAATGAGAACGGGGCCTGACTGGGCTGGTTCCTAAGGGCAGCATGTACAGCATTTGCCTCTTCTCTCTACACATAATGTGGCTGCCTCCCTAAAACTAGCAAAGATTAGCGTAATCCCATGTTGCCCTCTGTCTGACCCCCTGCCCTACATCTCAAGGAACTGCCACAGAACGTGGACACACAGCGGTGGAGCCACGGGGGCGGATACCTTTATAAAAGAGAACCACGATCTTCTGAAACGCCTTCATGAAGTGGATGTTGTCGTAGCAGTACTCCTGGACCTTCTGCAGGAGGATCAGCTCTGACTGGCCTTGGGAGCTGAACACGGCCAGCAGGGGAGCGTATTGCTGCAGGAGGAGTGGGAGTGAAGACATTAACTTTCTGGGGAGGGACAGACTGGACAACACTTGAATCACAACAGTAACCTGGAGAGTTGCTTAGAAAACATTCACTTTTTGGATTATCTTCTTATTACAACATTGTGTCGGATCAAAATGAATTTTTTATCCCGGCATCTTATCAGCTTTCTCTCAGTGTACCTATCAACGGGAGGCAAATGTGAACTTCTGATGATAAATGCTGTGCTGATGATAAATCCTGTCTATTGGATATGGGGAAAATGAGACAAGGAGTGAGGCTCTCCTTCCCGACATTCAGACCCCCTCCCAGGCCATCTTTATGGTTTTGCTCATATTGCTCCCTCTGCCTCAGCTTCCATGGCCTGGGTCACTGAGGGACAGCCACTGTTTCCTCTACGACCCCCTCAGTTCAGCGGTCCTCTCCTCCCAGGAGCCTTCCCCGGGCAATGGAACCTGCAGTTTCCCCCTGCGCTGCTCTCAGTCTCTGAGAGCTAGCTCTAATTTCCATCCCAACCTACTTTATACTGAAGGTCTTTCACTGCCCAATTCAAGTATCAACTCTGAAGGCAGACCTGTCTCCCACTTTTCTTAATAGTTTTATAGCAAGAAGACAATTCACGGAAGTAAAAACATACATACCCACGCACAAAAGATAATTTACAGAGTCAGCTGATTTCTTCCACCAGATGCTTTTCAAATTCTAACGTTAATTTGTAGTTGGCTTAAACAAAAAGATTCACTAAGAATTTCCCTTGTGTAGAACAGAAAGAAAACCAATAGACAGTATTCCTCTTTAACTTTAAATACTGAATGTATGACTATTCTGTGGCTTTTCGAACATGGTTTCTAGTAAAAACTTACCCTTAGGTATTTCATAGGCTCAGACCCGAAACATTTTAGGTAGCGGAGAATTTGAAAAGAAAAAAATTAGGAGCTATATGTTTGGCCTGAGTCTGGGTGAATGAGGCTGCAATGACGGCCATCCTGTCACACGCAGCACTTGGCCCACAGCAGAGACTGTCCCTTATGAAGACCCTGTACCTTCAGGTGCTTGAGGGCCTGCTCTGCCACGAGTTCTTCCTTCTTGTTCCACTCCACAGCATTCATGATGCAGGTCCACAGCAGGCCTATCACTGCTGTTTCCGGGAGGTCATTCCTCTTCATTTCTTCTTTCACATAGAGCACCACCTAAATTTCACGGAAAGGGAGTCGTCAGAATAACAGGCAGATGGGGAGTTCCCTCTCACCGTCCTGGGGAGTGAAAGGTTTGGGCAGATAAACACTCGACTCAGTCCCTCCCTTCCTGGTACTTACTGTCAGATTACAACAGGGACAGAAAACACGATGTTTTGTTTTCAAAGCAGATTTATTTTTAGTCCAAAAAGTAATAGGCCTCGCTCTGGCCAGGAGCTGCTGGACAACAGAGAACAAGAGAGCATCCCTGCTTCTAGGAGCGACTCTTTTCCGTGCAGGGATCTCCAGGAGCCCATCAGAGGAGTCTGACTGAGCCAGTCTGACTTCCTTGAGGTTTGAAAAAGGTAACCAAGCTGTTAATTTTTACCTCTAACCCTCACCTTTAAAGCTCTTGACGGATAATATCTCGGGTTTAAATAAGGCCGCTGTCCACAATTCATTCTTTAGTTATTACTTTTGATGATCTCACGCCCCATCTCAGTGAAATGTTAATTTGTAAATACGTTGTACGGCGCAAAGGCATTTTTATACGCTATGTATCAACGCAGCACCACTCAGCAGATGATTTCCCCCTAAGAATTAAGTTTAAATGTGTACATTTATCCTCAAGTCCCACAGTATGAAATATGGGTCCACCTAACTTCATTGCATAAAGGTCCCCTTAGGAAGGTGAAGCTTGTGCCACGCGGTCTGCGTTACTCCTCGGCTCGGCGTGTCAGGAGTGCGGTCGGCCGGGTTTCTCACCTCCTTGATCGGGCATTCCTGAGACAGGCGCTCCTGCAGCTCCTTCTGCAGCTCCTTCCTGGTGCCCAGCGACTGCTGCACTCGCAGGAAGTCGGAGAGCTCCTTCAGCCCCGCGTCGGTGAAGTACTTAGCAAAGTGATCCACACTCTGTCTGTTAACGGGAAAGAGTTCCTGAGAGAGAAGAGAGGCTGTTATGCAACAAGCTACTCACATTTCAGCAAACAGAGGACAACATTCTAATATGAAAACAGCGCTCAGAATATCTCATATTTTGGAGGAAAGAACAAAGACTGATTTTAAAAAGAATAAACCTCGGGTATATTTCTTCAGTATTTACTAAGCACTTTCTAAAATTAGGCAGTTTTTCAAAGAAAGAGAAAAAAAGTTAAGCAACTTAGATAAACTAGCTTCACTCATTTTGATCATTATTTATTTTTCTTTTACTTTAATCAAAGTATAGCATGTGTAAATACAGAACTAAACTTGCTAAATAAAATGCACATCAGACACACTGACTTGGCCCACAGCAGAGACTGTCCCTTATGAAGACCCTGTACCTTCAGGGTCTTGAATATTTGGATTGTTTTAAAGTGACAAGAAAAATATTGAAATCATTAGGTAGCCAGCCACAAGGTGTCCTTAACTATGAATAGGCAGGCCAGTTTTAATAATGCTGAGATGATTTGAGCTAACATTAGAAAAATGACATTGACTATTGTCATCTCAAGGACCTCTATTCACATTCTGAGAAAATGCTATTATGCTAAAACCAGAGGCCCAATGCACGAAATTCGTGCAAAAGCCATGGACCCTGCCTGCCGCCTCTATGTCCAGGGGCCTCTGCCACCTCTGCCTCAGCCCCCACCCACTGCGATTTTGTCTGGAAGGAAGGGTGTCCGGAAGGATGTCCACTCTAATTAACATATTACACTTTTATTATTATAGATACTAGCTTGGGAACTAGAGAGTTTTATTAAATCTGTTAATGACGGTGGCTCTCACATTCATGGCAAGATCTAAACTAAACCCACTCTAGCAACTTTTCAGTTCATTACATAATTTGTTGGAAAATTTAAAAAGAGCAATGATACCATTGCCACTCTTATTTTTACCTCATTTCCATTTTACCGTACACAGCTTGACGGTCTCAGTAACACTTAGTCATGTTCTAATCCTGTGTGACTTTTAACACCCAACTAAGAAATTCAGGCAATTTTCAAAGTTCTCACATTTTTCAGACTGCTACAGTCTAAAAATTAGATCTAAACCTTTATGTTGGTTTGATTTGCATATATATGGTCAATGGCTATATGGCTCCAATAAACATCTCAGTAGAAAGATCTGGACTGTCCCCATGTATAGGGACATGAGCAGATGGCTTCTAAGTTATGGCTCAAGTTTCAATATTTTAATATCATCATTCCATAGTTTCCCTTGTTGAGTCATGAGTTTCAAAATGTCAGGACAGAGTTGGTGGGAACAGTTACCAAGCACGCATTCATGTTAAAGCAAACATTTCATACCAGACTGAAATTTTGTCACTGACATCTATGCTAACATTCGAAAAGTCTTTCAAATTTGGGGACAGGGGACTAATTTGTTTTGAATTTCTGCTATGAATCAAGATGGGGCAGGTCTGTTGTTCATAATTGTGTAAAGTTGAAATTTTTATAGATGACAAATTGAGCCAACAAGGTTAAGCAGTTTGACTCAGATTATGCAGCCAGAAATATTTTTAAAAAATAATATATATATATATATATATTATTGATTTTTTACAGAGAGGGAGAGGGATAGAGTTAGAAACATCGATGAGAGAGAAACATTGATCAGCTGCCTCCTGCACACCCCCTACTGGGGATGTGCCTGCAACCAAGGTACATGCCCTTGACCAGAATTGAACCTGGAACCCTTCAGTCCACAGGCCGACACTCTATCCACTGAGCCAAAGCGGCTAGGGCACAGCCAGAAATATTTAAGGACAGAGTTGTGTGACCTTAAGATCAATCCTTATTCCATTATTCTTCGCTGGCATTTAATATTGCATTTAGAAAGAATGTGACTAAGAAATCTGATCTAAAATTATGTTCAGAACAATATGTCATCAAACATATTACTCATGGTTTATAGATGAACTATATCCAAAGTCCTCATGAATGTTACATAATGCATTGAAACTTATCATTCAGATTAAACTGAGGCAAAATCTGTCTAAACTGTATCATGACATTTACTGTAGCCTGGTCTACTATAGCCTTGCTCTTGAGTCTACTCCCAGTGCAACAGTCAGAATCATCCTGTTAGTACCCTAAATCAGTGGTCGCCAACCTTTTGGACCTCACAGACCACCAGTGGTCCGCGGACCACCAGTTGGCGACCACTGCTCCAAAGGTTTCCTTAAACCAGCGGTCGCCAACCTTTCGGATCTCATGGGCCACCAGTGGTCCATGGACCATTGGTTGGTGACCACTGCCCTAAATAACATCATGCACGAATCTGCAGAGAATTCTTCAAAGGATTCCTATCTTTTCAGAATAAAAGCCAAAGTCCCTCGATGACATGGGCTCTGATGCTCTTCTGAGCTGATCTCCTATGCTCTAGCTCTTACCAAATGCTCTTGCAGTCTTCAGCATGCCATGCCTCAAAGACTTCTATATACAGAGATTTACCCCAAGTCTCTCAAGTAGGTTCCACGAGGACAAGGAACTTTAACTTTCTATCCTGTTCTCTGCTGGCTGCAGAGCTTCTAGGGCTGTGTTGGCCCCGAGCAGACACTCATGCTAAATGAAATCTATTGTCAGTGGCAGAAATTAACTGGAAATTAACGAGAAACTTAAATGTTCTTTTCTATCATATCTTAAAGACTTTAAAGACACAAGTAGGGCTATTTTAAGGCAAATTTCAAGAGACAAAGGAGCATGAAGTCATTGGAAATGCAATGAGACAGTTTTAGAATTATTCCATGAATTGGCACCTTTGCATGATAGAATACATTGGAAGAGAAAACCAGCTGAGAGACTAGGTAAGGAGAAGATGGCTGGGTGTCTTTTAATTTTAGACTTTGTCCTAAAATTGTAAAAGCAATTTCACTTGTAGAAATCTCTGCCATTTGGACAGCTGTTGCTCTAGAAGAAAGAAATAATAGGCAGCAGATAGAAATTAGGAGGACAAAATATTGTTCTTGACTTTTTTGGGGGGAAAGATATAAAAATAGAGAAATCCATAATTAAAAAAAAGCACAATATGCTAATTAGACCAGTCATCCTTCCAGACAACCTTCCAGATGAAGCTGGGGCTGAGAGAGCCGAGGCAAGCCGGTGGGCTGCGGTGGGTGGGCGGGGCCTCCCTCTGCGAGAGAAGCCAGGGTCCCCGGTGCCGGAGGGAAGCCGGTGCCGGCAGTTGGGGGAAGGAAGGCCTACTCTTGCACGAATTTCATGCATTGGGCCTCTAGTGAAAGTATAATCAAGCAATTGTGATAATAGGAGTTTTGAATGAATGACAATTAACTTGTTTGCTTGCTTAAGTAGCTTAGTATTCCCCATGGATCTTGGTATAAACAAGGACTGTTTAAATTTTTATTTTGTCAACACAACGACATGCATTTCAGATAAGTGTTATTCAACTCTAACCCAACATATCACAAACGTCTAATTAGGTGGGCTCAATGGGACTGTACTATAGGAAAATTCAAATTTCTATAGTTACTCGTTAAAAAAGAAAGTGTTCTGATAAATGTTAACACTATGTCAACACACTTCCAAATTTGAAAGTTTGTTTTCTTTGAGTCTTTAATCATTTCATTTATAAAAGAAAGATTAAATTGGAATTAGTTTCTATCTACCATAACATAGAAATAAGAGGAACCATGCTTCAACTCAGCACAGACCCGGCTTTTTGGCCATGCACTATACTGCAGATGCTGCCAGGCCATGCCAGAGGATGAAGCAGGCAACACCTTTGTCCAGATAAGACTTACAAGCAGCCTCTTGTCTAAGTTGGCTTTTCTCAAAGAAGAGGTAACAGAGTTGGCATCTTTTTCTGCCATCCAGGCTTTAAAAAGCTTGACAGCAAATGAGGCCGCAATGCCTGTTTAAAAAAGAGAGAGTGTAGTTGCTTTTATAAGTAAAACCTCTCGTGATGATGGTCAAGGCAACATTTCTCATCAGGATTCCAGAAAAGAGTAAATAACTCCACAACTTGACTCGGTACAAAGGAAACATGGATACATTTCTAGGCACAGTGCCATTCAGTGCTAAAAAGGGAGCTTTTTCACTTTTGAACACTTTAAAAAAGTTACAATATTTTTCAAAGTTGGACTTCCTAATTCCAATCTAGTATACCTATATATTATTTTTGGTCAAAACCGAACTTAAAACCAAGTACTTCCTAGTATTTTTGCCTGCATATATCACCCTGTGGTTCACCAATATTTCATGTTTATAACAGTGATCCTGAGGTACAACAAATAAATCATGAGACATAAAATTAAAATGTCAACTAATTTGCTGGTAAATTACACCAGTGAAAGAGAATTAGCAGCAGCAGATATAAAGCTATAGATAAACATGCATCATTTACAATTGTACTTTTTGTAAAAAGCATTTTAAAATATTCACGAATTTACCCGGCCAGTGTGCTCAGTGGTGAGTGTTGCCCCATGAACAAAGAGGTCCCCTGTTCAGTTCCCAGCCACGGCACACGCCTGGGTTTTGGGCTCGGTCCCCACTGAGGGTGTGCAGGAAGCAGCAGATCAATGTCTCTCTCATTGATGTTTCCATCTTTCTATCCCTCTCCCTTCTTCTCTCTCTAAAATCAATTTTAAAATATTTAAAAATATTCATGAATTAAGCTATAAAAATATTAACGCTGTTATGAGTTGAATTCTTAATATTTTAAGATATTTCTAAAATAGCTATGTTAATCAGGAAACCACTCGAATAGATATCCATATTTAAATTGGGATTTATTTCCTAATATAAACAATCAGGTAATTAGGAGATAGCTCTTCTGTGAAAACTTCAAATTTCTAAATTAATGTTCCTCTTTTATAATGAAGAATTAAGGTGCAGTTGAAATATTAAGCTGATTTTTCTGAATTGTAGGCTTTATTATTGCTGTTGGCCTAAGCAGACTCAATTACCATTTCCTCTTGCCTAAGAGAATTCCCATTTGCTCAAGCCAGGTGACTTCTACTAGTCTAAGTCCTGGCATTACCTCCTTCTGCAATGATTAGCTTAGTGACCTCAGCTTAAGCTCATCTGTCCAAAGCATCCCCATGGCAACTACTACTGGGCTGAAACTGATCACATGGCCAATTTCAGCCAATCAGCAGAAGGCAAGATAATTTATTTTATTATCCTATATCCACTGAACCTGACTGGGAAGCATGTGCCACACATAACTGTACCAGACTTCTTTTGATGACCAGGAAACCATCCTTGGGGCGAAATTGATGCTACAGAGAGTAATGAGGAAAAATGAAGGAAAATACCCGTCCTAAATGAGACTGCTGTTCACCCTGAAGTCTGCTATACTTTTTCGTTGTTGTTAATCCTCATCAGAGGATCTTTTCCATTGATTTTTTTTTAGAAAGAGTGGAAGGGAGGCAAGGTGGGGAGAGAGAAAAACATTGACATGGGAGAGACACATTGACAGGTTGCCTCCCATGTGCCTCAATTGTGGGATCCAACCCAGAACCCTGCTATGCAGCTGACACTCTAACCACTGAGCGGCACCAGCCAGGGCAAGTCTGCAATACTTTTATACTGATAGTTACATAAGAATTATGTCCTTATAAACAAATTCGGGTCCCATCTTCCAGTTACTTACAGGTAAATACATTCAATTGCTCTATCATTTATGCAGACACTAACTTTACCAAATTTTCTTCATTTGATTATCAGAGTAATGGAGCACCCTCCACCCCATCCCAATTATGGCCATGACTATAATACATATCTTATAAGCTGGAGAATTTTATGTTCTAAACTTGTTGACATGGATTTTTAATACTTTGATTAGTTCATAAAGTCAATATAACATTTAATATAAATGTTTGCAATTAAATTGTTTAAAATGGCCGATGATGTAATCTGTGTTCTAAGTAAGAAAAGAAAGTATGCTTGAAACCAGGAGTCCAACACCGAGGCTTGCATCTATAACACTGCATTAGAAGTGGCTCTCGGTGGGAAAGTGAGAGAAATCTCTTTGTACCAGAGATTCTATCTGGTGGGATGACCCAATCCCCCTTAGCCATTTGTTGGGTGAGAGACTGGCAAAAAGGTGTGATTTAATCCTTTCCTATTTAATAAGCCAGAGTTTAATCCTTTAATTTCTAAAGATGGTGGAGTATAAAGAAAAACCATGTCACTTCCATAGCAAAGGTATTTTTCTTCTCCTTCCCTACCCACTAACATTTTAATATAAAAATTTTCAAATATACAGAAAAGCTGAACAAATTCAACAATAAAACTCATATATACTCACCTAGATTCTAAGCTGTTAACATTTTGCAAAATTTGGTTTATCCCATGTCTGTCCATCTATCCATGCAATAATTTATTTTTTTAATATGTTTCAAAAGAAGTTAGGTTTTTAATACAACCAGAAAGGCAATCCTTTTCTGCTATAAGGGCTAAAATAATCTGATGTAATTATATTTACTGTTTACATTTTGTTGTGTTTTTCTAGTGAATTCTCTTCAGAGAACTACTTTAAAATGTTATACTATCAACAATACAATTACAGAGTCTGAACTGTTATAAATCTGAACTGCTTTAAGCTGAAAAACACAGAGAACCTATTCTTTCCTTGGAAACTACAAACCTTTTCACTGCGGGCATGAATGAGGCTGGATTTCACATTTATAAGAGAAAAACTTTAAGCTCTAAGAAGAAACAGATGTTTTCATAAAAACTCTTCTAATTTATTTTTAAATAACTCTTTGCTTTGTGTTCTATTATAACTTGAAAATCATTATCCTCCTACAAAAAAGAAAAATGCCTACTTTTGTTTTATTCTATAACCAAGTAATTGTATGTCTGTCTGTCAAACTCTTAATGCCTTAACATGAAAGCTAAGTTCTGATGCAGCCATCTGGACTTTCAAAACAAACACAATCAATGTCTTAAAAATGTGCTCAAAGTGGACATCTCAGCACAAGCTTTTGAGGTAACAGCCAAGAAGCAAGGTCCTCATCAGGGAAATAGCAGCCTGGGGGCATTTGGGAAAGTGAAGGGGCATTTTTGGTTGTTATACTAAAGGAGGCGGGTGCTACAGGCTGGCATTTTGTGTCTGAGGGCAAAAAGGTTAAATGTCCAAGAAAGCACAAATGAGTCCTGCACAATGAAGCACTGTCCCCCCAAAATACGCTAGTAGCGTGTAAGTTGAGAAAAGTAGTTTGGACCAAATCAATTTCAGGGTGTTTGACCAAGGCATTGAGTGTTACACCAAAAATCCTGGTTTATTACTAGTCTTTATTTGTCTTTGTTTAGGTGTGCAGATTTTTTGTCTAATTTTCTACAATACACATGTACAATTCTCTTATTTTTTAAGACACCGAATATGTACATTCTCTTACATGGGGGAGGGGAGGACACTAAGAAGAGGTGCTAACATTTTTCTAAATATCTGTGGCTTTCCTTCCCCATCTGACAGGTAAGAAAAACATGAGAGCAATTACCTTCTTTGACTAAGTTGTCGGTGAAGAGACTGGTGAGGATGGTGGGAGGAAGGGTGCCGTTGCCTAGGAGGATCCCCGACAGCATTGCCAACTTTGTCTGCTCTGTTTCGGTAAAGGCTTTAAGGAAGAGGAGAAGCTGTGGGTCAAACAAAAGATACCATGTCTATAAAGCAAAGGACTAATAGGCACAGAATGCACATCCATGGTACACAACCAGCAGGTCCTGTGCAAGGCATAGTCCTCATGTATTGGAAACACATGGGGATGTTTGGTTACCAGTTGGATACTAGAAAGAGTGACTTTAGCAGGTATAGTTCCTTTCTTCCAAGTTCACTTACATATAACGATAGATAACATTCACGGGAAGGAAGAGACATTTGGAGAACAGTGTGAATAGTTACATAAATAATTTACACATTTGACTTTTTGTACATTACATAATGAGAGTAATGTTTTCTGAAATACATTACTGTCACATTTCCCCCCCACTTCTTTGGGTCGCCCCCCCTCCCCTCCTCATCTACCTACTTTCTTCGGGTTTATTAAAGCAAAACAAATACATGAAAACTAGGAAAGAGTTAATAAGCTTTGACATCCTGCATATACTTTTTCTGAGTTCACAGCATATATACTCTTCAGTAGAAGACTGTTGAGTGAGAAAGGGGTTTTCAAAGTTCTTGCTGCTCTATTACAAATAACAAGATTCACACTTCGTATTTCTTGGGTCCTGCAGGTGTACCACCAGCCCTGGTGATGAGCTAATGGAGGACATGCCGTAAAGAAAAGTTCCTGACCGGTGAGAGGCTTCTGATGTGAGGTGGAAAGAGCAATTTGGAGAGGTAATTAAAAAAGTAACAATCCCAGAAAGGCTGCAGGAAAGCCAAGACCCTCCTCATTATGAACTGCAAGAGTACTGAGTCTGTGGACCGCTCTCCCCTTGCTCCTGACCCCCCCTCCGCCGAGAGCGTTGACTGTGTCCCCGGGCTATTTCCTCAGTTTCATCAGTCCTTAGGCATGCGACTCAGCTCCCCAGGGCTCAATATCACTATCCAGCCCTGCTGACTTGTTCATTACTTGGCTCCAAAGAAAAGTTACTGGCACCAATATAAGCTTAAGTGCCAATGAAGTTCCATTAGTTCTGTGTGGTGGGTATGGCAATATTAATTTACTATCCCTCACAGTTAAAGGATTATTACATTACAAAAAGGTTATGTGACTCTCCAAATATTTATATTGTGAATAAGTGGCAGAAATGGAATCAAACCAATACATTTCACCTCAATTTATGCCAGTTCAAGTGTTGAATTAAAATGAAGTCACCTTCTAAGTTCACAAGAAAACAGGAGTGAGGGATGAGAGCACGAATGGTTAAAGCTCCAGGGAGCACCGGAAATGGGCAGGATAAACACTGACAAAATCACAGACACTCTAGATCCATCTTGAGTAGGATCCAAGTGACTAATGTAAAATGGCTTCCAAAATAAAAATGTTAACACTACTTGTTTAAAGACATTAATATACCTATATTCATTAAAAATATTCCATTACAACAAAATGGTGCAAAAGTTAGATCATTCTTTTAAAATTAATATTCACATTGCTCAATTCTATTAATCAACATTAGATTCACATGCTGCATATATTGCAGTAGCATTTTTATTAAAAAATAGAATACTGTGAAATATAAATCATTCTTGAAAGCATATTCATTACATGAATGAAATAATTAAGGAAGTTTTCACGGCTGAAATGAGCTAAGGTAAGTAAAAACATGAGTGATATTATTAGACAAAGCAGTAAGATGTTTAATTTATCTGAATGCTTTACATCATTTTTTCATCACATTCATTTCTTTACTTAATCAAGCACTCATTTTTCTAAGCATCTAGCAATATAATGGATCACATGCCTTTCCATTTAAATTTTTCATATTAAAAGAGTAATACTGCCAGTAGAATAAGATCTAACAAAGAATAACATAAAAATGTAAAAAACCTCTTCTCTATTCATACTCCTTTAGAATTCACATTAACTCTGAATGTCTGCATATTACAAATAACTATGTATAATACAGGTTGCTTTTACTGAACTGTACATTGATAATAACTAAAACTAGTAGAGTGGACTAGCTACTCTTCTGAACAGTTTATGTGTATTAATATCTACAACAGCCTTGATCTTTACTTTACAGAAAGGGAAACAGGCACAAAAAATTAAGTGATTTGCCAAGGTTAAACTAGTTCCAATGGTTGCTCTGCACCTTGCTATTTCATTTATCAATCTATCATGTACATTTTCTCCAATCAATTCATGTGGCTACGCCTCATTCTTTGAAATACTGCATAGTATGCCCCTGTATAGAGTTACCATAATCAGATGCCCACCAATGCACATTTAGGTAATTCCTCAATACTGTGATGAACACCTTTAAGCATATAGTTTTAGGTATCCTTGCTGAAGGACTCATAAATAGAAAGTTGGGTCATTGAGGATGTTAATTTTAAAAAAAAAGGATTTTACAGCCCAAATGTTTAAGTAAATAGCAAAATAGATGTTATGGTTCCTTTATAATTTAGGCAGATGTCTAAAACTGGAAACAATGGCAAAGAAACATACAAATTTGTAACAAGTTAATATGGTGACTGCTACATATAAACACAGAGGAACTACAAATTGGAAGAGGGAACATGCTGCAATTACTGAAAAAGAGGACTTTTTAATAAGGTGCTACTATTATTTCACTACTCACTGGAGGCCAGTCACTATGTTAAGTACTTTATATGTTACTAGAGCCGTGATGGTGAACCTATGACACACGTGTCAGAGGTGACACGCGAACTCATTTTTTTGGTTGATTTTTCTTTGCTAAATGGCATTTAAATATATAAAATAAATATCAGAAATAAAAGTCTTTGTTTTACTATGGTTGCAAATATCAAAAAATTTCTATATGTGACACGGCACCAGAGTTAAGTTAGGGTTTTTCAAAATGCTGACACACCGAGCTCAAAAGGTTCGCCATCACTGTACTAGAGGCCCAGTACATGGATTCGTGCACCGGTGGGGTCCCTCAGCCTGGCCTGCAGGAATCAGGCCAAAACCGGCAGTCTGACATCCCCCGAGGGGTCCCGGAGTGTGAGAGGGCGCTCTGCAAAGTTGCTGTCACTTGGCAGCTCCTGTGTCGAGTGTCTGCCCCCTGGTGGTCAGTGCACGTCATAGCTACTGGACGGTTGGCAGGTCGCTTGGGCTTTTATATATATAGATATCATTTATTCCCACAATTACCATAAGGTTTGCACTCTTGTTACAGCTATTTTGCAGATGAGAAAAATCACTGAGATTTACTCCTATACATTATCTCCAAAATGTGTTTTATCCCTTTTGCTAAAGCGTATTTTTTAAATTTAAGAAATTTACTGAGTATTAGCTGCTGTGCAGTGCTATTTCATATACTTCAACTAATTATATCACCTTATCTTGATTCCTCCCTGGATATATTTCTTTTTCTTGCATATTTCTGTTTTTTATTTTAAGCTCTGTAAGGCCAGAGATCATATTCTATAAAACTTCCTATTGAACAAAACATGCTTATATTAAATATGCATGAAAAATCTAGGCTAATCATGTATTTCTTCCTATAGGTATTAGCTAATGATTTGTTATAGCCATTCATTCATTCAACAAACATTTAATAAAAAAACTTAAACAAATAAGACATTACATTTGAATTTTTACCTTTTTCATTGCATCCTCAAAAGCCTTTTCCAAATACTTATATCTCCTGATGAGTTTATTGAAGACCTAAACATAAAAGAGAACCATTCAATATTTTGCAAACAATTTTAAAAGGCAATAGGAGGAGGTGTAGAAACTCACTCAAACCACAACATAGATCTACAATAAAAAATGTGTATTTAAACATACTCATGCTGTGATATGAGAACTATAAGCATTTCAAAGGAGTTATACTGGCCTAGGGGGAAAAACAGCATCAAAATGTACATGTTAAATAAAATAAATTCATTGAAGAACATAACAGGTGAGCAACCAAAAATAACTTTGATGAAAAAGAAAATAAATTTTAAAACGGTGAGATGCAGAGATTGAAATAACTGAAATGTGCAGTCCATGTGGGATTAACATGTCACCTGCCATCCCTTTAGTACAAATTAAGCTATAAAAACAAATAAAAGTATTTCCTTGAAATTCCGTAAGTCATAGGCAATAGAGTACAATCTGAAGAATGTGTTTAAAAATATCCTGTAGGAATTTGTTATGAAATCCAGTATTTGAACAAATTGGGAAATATAAATACAACTATTTTTAAGTAAAATAGCAACCCTGAATGAAGGGGGTTACATATATCATCACATAGATGGTAGGTATGCTGGCAAGGAGATCAGAGATCAGGGGAGCTTATACTCTATGTAGACACAAACATGTTTTTAGCAGATGAGCAAAATTGTTTTTACTTAATGGCAAAAAAGGATTACTGACCACCACAATCCAGTTAGAACTCTCCGACAGGGTATGTAACTGTGTCAGTGGAATTCTAGACTGTTTTTTAAGTGGAGTGATGCTTGTTATTGGACTGAATGTTTGTGTTCTCCTCAAACTCATATGTTGAAGTTCTAACTCTTAGTTGTGACTGCATTTGGACATAGGGACTTCAGGAGGTGGTTAAATGAAGTCCTAAGGGCTTGGCCCTAATCTGATAGGACTTATAAGAGCCAGAAAGAACACCTCCCTAGAAAGCAAATCAGCTAGCACCTTGAACTTCCCAGCCTTCCAAACTGAGCAATAAAATTCTGTTCTTTAAGTCACCCAATCTTATATAGCTATAACAGCTCAATAAGACTATACAATGCTCTATTTAAGTAGGGTTTTATAAATACTACTAAAGGCCCAGTGCACGAATTCGTGCACGGGTGGGGTCCGGCCGGCTTGTCCTGGGCCGGCCAGGAGGAGGGGCTGCAGGTGGTTGGCCAGTGGCCCTGCCCCTGATTGAACTCCCGGTCAAGGAGACAATTTGCATATTAGCTTTTTATTATATAGGATTTTGATAACTGTGAAAATGATTCCTGCATCTAATTCCTTTCTCTTATATCCACATAATATATTTTCATCTAAAACTTCCAGTGTTTATTCCATAATAATACAGTCAAGACAGGATCCAAGAGTAAATATTACAGTGCTGCCCTTTATGGGGAAAGAATAATGGCCCAGGCATGGGATTGAGGAGTATGATTTTTCTTTCAGGCCTTCTTATCTTTCTTTCCCAGTGGAACTCAATTAGCAAATAATACACCTTGTGACTTGCATGAATTTAATTCTAACAAAAGTTCTGTGAGGAAGATAAGGTGGGCATTAACGTGATATTAGGCAGATCCAGGAACTGCTATTAAGTATGAGAGCAGGAACAGAATTCAGAAATTCTGGTCCTTAGTGAACTATACTTATTTGATAAACCAAAGGCTGAGTGGGAAATATAAAAGTCCGGTTTTTGAATTGAATACATTTGCTTCAGTACACACCTGCTCAGGGCTCTGTAGGCAATTTACACACAGAGGAGAAACAAAGATTTTTTTAATCTCACTTAAGGATATTTTACTTTTTCCATTGATTTTTTTAGAAAGAGTGAAAGGAAGGGAGGGGGGCGGACAGAGAGATAAACATTGATGCAAGAGAGACATTTCAATTGGTTGCCTCCTGTTGGCACCCCGACCTGGACCAGGGATCGAGTCTGCAACCCAGTTATGTGCCATTGATGGGGAATCAAACCCACAACCCTTTGGTCCAAGGGCTGACGCTCTAACCACTTAACAAAACTGGCCAGGGCCCACTCAATCCTTAAAACTATTTTTAAGTTGTCTGTTACATATTTCTTATATATAAAAAGGAAACAAATACCTTTGCTAAAATGCCATGAGATTGGAATAATTTTTTGAAGTTAAAATTCTTAGTGGCCACATATCTCATATTAGTTGGCTTTCACATTTTAATAACCAAAGTAAAGACAGTTTCTAAGCATCTGAAATCCAGTCACTTAGTTGTCAGTAAGTCCTATGGCCTTTTTCATGAATATATTGAAATGTGTATAACAAGACTTGGGTGATCTTGGACTCAACCACAACATATAGTTGGAAATAAGAAGTGACTTTTAAGAAGGGTCCAAGATAGAATCAGAATAGGAACACACCAATTCTAAGTGGCTAATCATGCTGTCTTCAGCTTTAGACGATAATGTTGTTTCTCACATTCTTTTTTTTTTAAAATATATTTTATTGATTTTTTACAGAGAGGAAGGGAGAGAGATAGAGAGTTAGAAACATCGATGAGAGAGAAACATCGATCAGCTGCCTCCTGCACATCCCCCACTAGGGATGTGCCCGCAACCAACGTATATGCCCTTGACCGGAATCGAACCTGGGACCTTTCAGTCCGCAGGCCGACGCTCTATCCACCGACCCAAACCGGTTTCGGCATTTCTCACATTCTTGCCACTTCCTGACCCTCAGTAGGGCCTAAAGACTTAACTTTTTCACCAATCTAATGAATGCAGAAGGATATTTCATAATTTCAATGAATTTGTCTTCATCTGTTTTTTGGGGGAATTGTATTTCCTCTTCTTTGAAATGCCTAGGTGTCTTTTCCTAATAGGCTGCTTATCTTTTTCTTACTGACTTGCAGTTCCTTATTTAATCTGGATATGAATCCTTAATAGGTTTTATGTATCACAAATATCTTCTTACTCTTCCTTTTCTAACAGGTACATGATAGTCTCTTAATATGAATTACCAAACTTTACTTAATTATACTCTATTGGTCCACTATTACACTGTTTTTAATCCCTTGAGATTTTTATAAGCAACACTATGATAATGAACACTGTATGCATACTAGAAGTGGAATTCCTGGGTCAAAAAAATATATAGTTTTAGTTTTGAAAGATACTACCAAATTGCTCTCCTTAAACGTTGGTCTAATTTATACTCTCACTAGAAAATATATGACTATTCAATTCCCCACTTCCCTTACAGGTGAGAGGTATAAATCTCGACCTTCTTAATATTTTGATGCCCATTACAAGAACTGAGTATCTCTCAATGTTATAAGCTATAAACTATTCCTATTTAAAAAGTGGCCTATAGAATCCCTGAACCTAATATTTCCCTGAATCCTGTTCAAATGTTTCCCTTCTAACAAAACATGATAGGCTCTACCTGAGCATGGTTTCGGATGGTTTCATGATCTTCTTTTGCTGAAAACACACAGTGGTTGGTCATCTTGGTCTTGTCACCATCATCTATGCGTGTCCCTCCAGGGGCTAAAAAAGAGAAAGGTAATGGGCAGAACAGATCAACCCTGCACCTCGAGGGAAACAATAAAAGTAGATGTCAACTCTAAGAGTAACATAACATTTCATAGAGTGATGGGCATACAGAGCAATACAAATGTTCTTATCTATTTGTTTATGTTCCTCTAATACAGTGGTTCTCAACCTGTGGGTTGCGACCCCTTTGGGGGTCAAACGACCCTTCCTTCACAGGGGTCGCCTAAGACCATCGGAAAATACATATATAATTACATATTGTTTTTGTGATTAATCACTATGCTTTAATTATGTTCAATTTATAACACTGAAAATACATCCTGCATATCAGATATTTACATTACGATTCATAACAGTAGCAAAATTACAGTTATGAAGTAGCAACGAAAATAATTTTATGGTTGGGGGTCACCACAACATGAGGAACTGTATTAAAGGGTTGCAGCATTAGGGAGGTTGAGAACCACTGCTCTAATACAATGCAAATTGGTTGCTCCATTTTAAACTCCCACCACGTATATGAGATTGTTGTTCTACATTCTTGCCTTCACTAGATTCTATCACTATAAGTATGGTCTTTCCCAACTATATCCTTAATCATGGCAGCTAAGCAATAATATTTATTCACTGAACTTAATTGTTCTCAATGCAATTCCTGATGTTTCCCATACCAGGACACTGTCCACTTTTCACTCTTGATAATATTTTGTCGGACTCTAGTTCACCAACACAGGCATTGACCACACCTGGCTTTTATAGTATAGGTCTTGTTGGTTTCCACGGGAGTAGGTAATAAAACTGTTCCCTCCTCCACTAATCCAGTTTTCCATGCAGGGTTGGGCAGTGCACGCTCTGACTCCTTGCCATCTGTATTTGGTCACTCTGTAGCTGCATTGGCAAGGCACGAGTGTGCTTTATTCCCTCTCCTCTTCTTTTTCCCATGGCTGATATGGTGTCATAAAATAAATGGACTAGAACAAAAGAATGCCATTTTTCTACGACTCAACTTTCCACAGTGCACGTCTCCTCCTGCAAGTTTTAACGGTGGCCATTAAAACATGGGTTGATTAGAAGAACAGAAGGAGAACAGCAGGTATTTCTGTTTCCTGATTCTACTTCACTTTAATTAGAGTAGAAAGTTTGAGTAAGCCAAGTTAGATTACTATCTTTTATACACTCAACAAATATTTATAGATTACATACTTCTACCGCCACTTTGTTTAAGTGTATAAATGCCTTGATTTAATTTGTGATTTCAAATCTTTGGATGAAAAGGTCTACACATAGCCAAAGCCAACTTTTTCTTAACCTCAGCATACAGTTTTATAAGTAAATTAGTTTTTAGAAAAGTCAGCTCCTTCAAGAGTCTATTTTCATTCAAATAATTATGCATAAGATTTAATTAGCTCTCTGTAATGAATTCAACCACCTGGACCAACATTTTATTAAGATGATAATCTCCTAACAATCCTGCACTAATAATTCCAACTTGGTGGAAGTTACATAACAGAAATGCCTGATTTTGAAACTACAGTCTTTTTTTTTTAAAGTGGCAATTTTTTAAAATTGCATTCTTTTACAAAACATTTGTTACACATTAATATTGCAACATTAAATATTATTTTCCCTGATATTGGGACCAAGTATTAATTGCTATTTCTAAAGATTTTGGTAAGCTTGCTGTTTTTCTCAAAGTAGAAGTAAAACCAGTGAACTATTTCTTATATCTATTCTTCAAAGGGTAGAATTGAAATACCAAGGAAATGTTGCTCTAAGAACAATGGGAGAAGGTAAATATTTTTGTGGGTGGGAAGAAAATTCTCACATAGTTGATAAGTAAACAAAGTGTTTATATAAAAAGAATGCACCTGACTGGCTTCAGTCATTACATCATAGGTCTGGCGTCAGTAGACATCCAGGGGTGTAGGGCCTGTGCTCATAGTTGTACCAAACATTGTGCTCTACCCTCTTCTCGGATGTATGGATGAGGCATGAAGGAGTGAACCCTGGCCTGCAGATGTAAATTTGCTGATTATCATTATACACATGGTAAATGAAGCATTGAGATGATCAATGCAAAGCATATAGATAATTTAATACATATGTGGGGAGAGTAAGTACAGAAACCCAGGAGTCATGTAAGAAGTGACATCCAGATGTTGGAGAAAGTCTAAATGGTTCATGTAAGGGAAAAACATAAAACATTTCAAGCACAACAAAGGGTCAACGATGCTGCCAGGAGGCGCAGAGACTGGAAAAGGGTCCATATCATTGACTAATGAAGTCATGTGTCGCTTTGGCAAGAACCAAATTTTGCTGAAGACTATATATTTGCATGGAATTTACCAGTGTGTCAATAAAAGTATATCACAATGAATGAAACACAAAAAAACAATAAACATATCAGAAAATATTCAGCTTCATAATTAATTTAAAACTCTTAAATGAAAATATGTATCACCGGACAAAAATCCAAAAACCTGATAAAATTGAGAGTACCTAACATTGCTAAAGGTGTAGGTAAATAGGAACACAGGATTTTTTTCATTTATTGATTTGTTGTTCCACCTATTTATGCATTCATTGGTTGATTCTTGTATGTGTCCTGATGAGGGATTGAAACTGCAACCTTGGCACATCAAGACAATGCTCCAACCAACTGAGCTGCCTGGCCAGGGCTAGGAACATATGATTTTTGATAAAACGTTGACATTCCTTTTTTGGGCTAATTTTCTCTCTCTCAGAGAGTTTGATAGACATAGACAGACATAGATATTTCCATCCATCAATTCATTACTCCCTTGCTAAGTACATAAAGATGTGACCAAATAAAAGCACAAATATGTGTAAACAGATACTGATTACATTGTTGTTTATAATAATGAAAATCGGAAAGGAGTTGAATATTCTTAAAAATCAGTAGGGTTTTAATTCTCTTTAGAATCATCCAAAATAACACTCATGGACATAAAAGGCAGTAACATATTGCAGAGTAAATACAAAATAACATATACTGTATCGTATTTGTATACTAATCCATTCTCAAAAGTTTGTGTATTTAGGTAGAGAAGGGAATTAAGCAAAATATTAAAAATTGTCACCTCTGGGTTTGAACACTACCTATAGCAGCTTTTATGTGTGGACTTGAATTACCTACAGTGATGATGTGAGATAATTTATAAACAATAACAACAAAATTAATTTGTTATGCAGTGAAAACCATCAGTACAGATCAAAAAGGGGCCTGTAGTAAATGGGGCAAATACTGTAATAAATACATGAGCTCAGAGGGAGAAATTAAAGGGTGAGTCTACTTCAGAATGGAGAAACGTATATACTTGTCTTACAGTAGGCTGGCTTAAGCAGTGTTTTTCAATGAAAGGCACTACAGTGGGTAGGGCAGCGCAATTTCTCATTTTATTGACTGTCCTTTGTATGGTAAAGTAGGAAGCATACATGACCTCCACTCCTAAGTCTACATAGCAACCAAATCACTTCCACACATCTGCAAATGTTCCTATGGCAGTTGAAAATCGCTGGCCTAGGGAATTTGACCACTCCAGTGATTTATGGCTACTACAGAAACCAATGATCAAAACTAAGTTCTTACTAAGAATAACTATGAAAGAAACAAAGGGTGGTTATGATACCTAATAAACATTTAGATAAAGACACTATGTCACTAAAATAGACTTCTGCAGCCTTCTTCCCTGACGCCTCTGCTCTATTAGGTAAGTTTTTATTTTCCTTTTCTACTTATCTTTAATACTTTGAAAATCTCTCTTTAATCCTTTCAGCTATAAACTCAGTTATAAAGATGTTTTAAAAACTAGATTTAAACTATATTTCTTCGATATTTTATTTATGGATGAAATGGCATTTAGAGAAACACTAGCAATTATTTTTGAAATTTGTTGACAGTTACATTTTATTGCACCCCCGCCCCCCCCCCCCCAAAAAAAAAGTGGGCTCAAAAGAAAAGTTGGCATGGTAATGGGGATTAAATAAACATACTGGAAGGATCTAGATGACATATACAAAGTTCTAATATACTGCAGAAATTATTCTTCCTGTGTTAAATGCTCCAGAAACATTTAAGGATTAGGAACACATGGGAAAGTTGGCTTCTACCTAAAGCCATTTTTAATGTCAACAAAAAAGCCTCAATTCTATGCCTTTTTAAATTACTAATCATTTCACAGCCACATTAATACTATTCCAAATTGTAATCTAGATAAAAATTGGTGAGACTCCCACAAATGTAAACTTAAAAAAATTCTATCTTGTAAAAAAATATTTCAATAGAATTAAAAGTAGATACACTACAAGAAGATGCTATAATGCAGGCTTACCAAGCATACTGCCAGCTACCAGGATATCGAAGAGTGTGTCTGCATAGCGACGATAATCTAGTCTTGAGCCTGTAGAGTCCAGAAACTTGGCTACAGCTTCAAGGTCATCACCAGCTTCATTAAGCCCCTGGACAAGTGTATCCCTGAAGACTGTGGGTTCGAATTTCTCTTTTTCATCTCAAATAAAAAAAAAGTTATAAAATTATTCCTTTATTTACATATTACATTCCCAAATGCAACCATACTATGTTTGATATTGTATTTAAAAATTCAAGTGCAATTAAGTTTTTCTACTAGATTTCTACGTTCTAAAACCCCTTGTTCAAACACTTATTCAAGCAATTTATTTCTGTTTAAAAAGGGCACAAAAATTTGTAACTCTAATACATAAAAAAATGATGATTGATCATTTGTTTCATTCATAGAATGGGCCAATGTAATTCACTAACCCTAACTATCTGAGAAAAAATAGAGTATAACATTCAAAACTTAAAATTTTGTTTTATCTGAGACAGAAAAAGAAAAAAAAGATCCAGGGAAAAGCACCTAAAAATAAAGAAGACTATATATAAAAAACAAAATAAAGAAAATAAAGAAGAATGCTGGGAGAGCGTTTTTCAATAGCATAATGTAAAATTCCTTCAATATAATGATGTTAGAATTCCTAGTGGTTTGTATTAAGAGATTTACTGGTTTCATAAGGGGTTAACACCACAGCCTCAGAACCAGAGAAGAACGGCATTCCCAGTACCAGTCAGCTTCAAGCGGTGTAAGATATCATAGTCAGATGTAAATGAACTTGAATAATATTCCTCATGAACAAGAAATAAAGGTCCTTTTATGCTATAAGCAAAACATTATGCAACTAAGAACATGCAAATATTGACTACAGAAAAAAATATAATTTTTTAAACGGGAAGGGAGAGAATGGGAACTCTAGAGGCAGATTATGAGGTGCTGGAGTAGTGGGTGGATTACTAACTGACTCTGAGTAGGTGGAATTCATGGGCAAGGAAAGAAAACTGCATCCCTTACTCAGGGTCCAGCTAAAGGGTAATTTTCCTCTCCTCACAGAGAAAAGGTCTCTTTTCCTGAAATATGAGAAATGAGCAGTAAAGATCACAAGAAATAAAGAAGCCCAAAGACCAAGGGCTGTTTATGAAGTCTTATGACCAGCTTCCAAAATCAATTGAGGCCATCCCTACAATGACACTCAACCTGCTAAGATGTTGACGCAGGTGGCAGAATAGACTTTGATGATCAAAAATTATAAATTCAAGGCATTGGAAAATATAAGTTGGTTAATAAGGTAAAACCCAGACGATGCCACGGATTCATGCTGAGGACTTTGTTTTGAATCTAAGAGACAACTGAAAAGCTTTTTGTAAGAGCTTTCATCCTCCAGTTATATTTTCCAAAGATCTGCCAAGGAAGGGGAGAAGCAAGAGGAGGAAGATAGCATACCATGGCCAGAGATTCTCAACAGCAAGTAATTAGGTCAAAATGATCACTTACAGCTTGGGAATCTTGAAAAGTCATGAGGCATGATGGGATTAATAATTCTTTTGTAGACTGGAAAACAAATTCCCACCTGCTAAGATAAGTGTCCATGCAGAGGAATACAAACTTCTTGTACAGGAGCATGGCAAGAACATGGATGGAAGTTTGAGGAAATAAGACATTTTACCAAAAGGTTCTTTTCCATCTGAGATAATAGTATATTACACATTTAATTTGAGGACAGGCTAACAAATCCTAACAAAAATATGCCATTGCTTCCTGGAGTTTCCATTTGGCAGGTCAAATCTCCCTCCAAGTGGGAACATATAATTAGGGCCTCAAATTTATACTATGTTGGTGAATCACAAGTGAGACACGGAGGAGTTAATCAGAATAACCCTTAAGCTGACATGGAGAAATGAGCCTATTTCTGACACTCAAATATGCCTGTAAGTTATCTAGATGCATTGCTTTCTCGGGGAATTATGGTAATTGGTTAATATAGCATTTTTTCAACCTGTTGATAATTAAGTGATAAACAACATAACCTACATCCCTCTCTGTGGTAAGTGAATAACTGTCATGAATTTTCTAATCATACACACACATATATATTTGCACATTTAAAGCTTTACTTGATTAGTTGCTCCCACTACTTATTGTAAAGCTGAGTAATGTAAAACCATTAGCACAGGTGTAAAGGCTCAGGGAGAAACCTCAGATTGTGGTCACTCTGGATGCCTGCAATTGGGTCATTTATTTTGTCTCCTATTTTCATTCATTTTAATCCAATTTCTCTACAAAATTTTCAGGGAGGTCATTTCAGTCATTGAATATTTCATTTAGCTAAGCATAACAGTGGTTCAGAGGAGAAATTTTCATCTTTTTAGATTCCCACAAACCACAATGGAAAACATAACTTCTTTGGAGAAAATTAGTTATGCATATTTCATAAAGGAAAAGACAGCCTGAAAGGAGCTCTATATGATGCGTCCTGCCATAATGTTGAATTTTGATGTTCAGTAATAAGAAATACAGTTTTTTGGTACCAACTTGTACACGGAAGAGCATTAGCTTTGCCAGGAACTAATTTCGAACGGAAGACAGATTTTCAGAAGACAGCCTATCAAAATGACCTTGAAACAGCCTCAGTAGATTTTTCCTCAGCTTAACAAAACTGCCAACCACTTATCTGAAGTCGGCCCCGTCACAATAGCAAAAGAAAAGCCAGAGCACTATAAACCGTCAGGAGGCAATTCACTGTTACAAAGAATATAAAATGAGGTTGACTCTATTTTTCTCCTGTCCGCAGTCTGGCACGAAATGGCTCAAGTGCTGCTTAAATCCCCGGCAGACCTGAGCCTATAAATCCAGATCAACTGAGCAACGATATACAATAGACTGCGGGGCTCTGAGTGCTCCAGCAGCAATAAGGCTCAGGCACGATCTCGCCGACCGAATGAATCAGAGGCAAACCAGCTCAGAATTAGAGGACCTTTCCGGTTTCAAAGACTGCAAGACCAGCTTGCTTGTGGAATCATGTCTGCTGTTGTGCAACACATTCTTGGGCTGGCTCTTGGCTTTGGTGCTGTTACCGTGTGTGAATCAGTGTCACTAATAAAGCTGCTAGAGCTGGAGATCCAGTCTGAGATTAACACGGTTCCTCTGTGGGCAGGACGTGGCAAACCTTTCTGCACCTCACAGTAGGGCATATATTAAATATTATCACATTACCAGGCCCAACAACACCTTAACTGTAATTAGGTTTCTGGACTATATTGTTCCTTAATTATGAAGCCCTTTTGAAATCAACTATGATGATTTTTATAGTCCCATCCGCCCAAGACTACTTTAAACAATAAGACAACGAATGCATGTTGGTTGTAGTGCCTTGTCTTGGTACCAGTTTCCAGATTTTAATGGGGAAATCACTTTGTTAGAGGACTCAGTAGAGGGCGGTGGCTCAGGCTATGCTTTTACTTAGACAGTTTATGGGGATGAGCCAGTGATTAAAAAACAAACACACAAACAACAACAAAACACATTGAAAGAAGAAGAGTGCAAACAGAAATACTGTACAAAATAACCATTTGGTTACTTTAAACATTTTTAAATTTTCATTGTTTAGTGGGAGCGTGGAGCTTTCCAGGGGGCAGCATTTACAGTTAAATTCAGCCTTAGAGCAACCTAGTGACTCTTGGAAACACTTCTCATCCAATTGACCAATGGTACTGAGACTTCTTTACTTTCTAAATGACTACATTTATCCTAACCCAGACACAGCACTGCAAGGGGACATCAGCAGCAGGTGCTGCCTCAACACCTCAATGGAACACGCAAAAGGCATACATTCTGGGTAATCAATTCAACAGTGTAGCACCTGATAACCACTAAACGGCATGATGCTTCATAATCAGGAAGATATTCAGCCATCATTTATCTTTGTACATGATACTTCCTTAAATATTGTCAGTCACTTTCCTCAGGGTTAGTCAACACAATAATTTCATTTGTTTTGTATTTTAAAAAGTTTCTCTATCAAGTATTAGCTCAATTATTCTTAAATCCAAGAGGATCTCTACATAAATATGCAAAACTGATTAAATATAAACACTTAAAAGATCCTTGAAAATATCCCGAGTTTTAAAGATATTTAGGGCAGTAAGTTTAATTTGACTTCCTAAATTCTGAAAAGGTAAAAACTCTTTCCCTAACTTACTTTTCCTTTAGTTGTAGCATCCTTGCTATTTATACTTTTTAAAAAATAACAAAGAAAGCAAAAAACAAATACAAATGAGGATGTCAAAACACTAAAGTTAATTATCTTCACTTGAGGGTGAGGCAACCTGACCAGATATAATTATCCTCATTTTGTAGATAACGACACAAAGCTCAGCCAAGTTAGATGACTTGTCCAAAATCAAACAGCTAAATGACTGGCAATTCTAAGGCTGGATCTCAGACCTTCAGATTCTCCATCCAGAGTTCAAAAGACAGGAATTAGTGAGGTTAGCTGGAAACAAGGATATAATTCTAAATCTTCTCTACTTTGATATTTTGATTGGAACTTTAAGCACACCTACACATATACATTCCCCCCCCCCCCCCCCCCACACACACACACACAAACACACAACACAACCTACCCCTTTTCCGAGTTTTGAACCGCTGGCCTGTTAGCACTGGCTTCTGATGCTTATTCATAAAATTTCTGAAAACAAAGAAAATAAAGATTATGTAATTCAATTAAGCAGTTCATATAAAAATGGTCCTATTAAGCATAATGGGACTAATAAGCATATGTTTAATCTCATTTGTTTTGTATTTTAAAAAGTTTCTCTAAGAAGTATTAGCTCAATTATTCTTAAATATACTTATAAAAAATTGGATATACTTTAAAAAATGAGATAATTTTAACTACTGAATTAGCAAAAGTTTTAAAGTTTAATAATATCTAGTGTTGACAAAAGACATAAGGGAAACAACCTCAGGCATAAACTTTGGCATAAGGGAGAAACTCCATGCAATACTACTGGGCAGCATTTGTTGAATACCTATAAATATTTACATGTGCACAACCTGTGTTCAGCAATTTCTGTACTAGGAATTTATACCCACACAAATATGTAAATATATTTTGTGAGTGTGTGTATAGAAAGAATTCAGTTGAGCATTGTTGGATGCATAAAGAAATGGGAACTTAAATGCTCATGAGGCTGGTTAAACAAGTTATAATAAGCCATCAAATGATCAAATGGAATTTCATGAAGTTTTACAAATGAAGGAATTAGCCCTGGTACCTTTCCGATTATGTTTCCTACATCTACATGTCTTCCCATCACTCACTGTGCTCCAGCCACACTGCCCTTTCTCCTCCAATGTGCCAGCGTGGTCACCTCTCTTCTGGGAAGGATGCTATCCCGGTCATTCCCTTGGTTTTCTCTCTACACCCAATCAAATGCGTCCTGTGCAGTGAGGCTTCCTTCTCTCCATGGCGCTAAGCAGGCCCTGCCATTTTATCATGTCTGTTTGCCTCTGGTCTATTTCTCCCTTGAGGGTGTAACCTCCATGCAGGTAGGGACTTCATAGGTTTACTCTATAGTGTGTCTGTAGCACCTAAAATAATTCTGAGTAAAGAGTAAGATTTACTAAATAATGTCCCATAAGCTGTGACACTGACATTGTCAAATGAGCTGTGCCAAGGCATTGCTAATGGAAAAAAACAAGTGGAATAAGAGTGTAAAACAGAATTTTTTGGTTAAAATGGTGATATATATATTCTACTTTTCTATGCAAGCAAAACATCAAAGATACCAAAAACTGCTAAAAGTCTTGTATTTGTTTACCTCACAGGGCAGAGATTTGGGTATTCTATATTATCTTATTGGATTTAATACACAACTAAAAAATATATTAAATTAGCTTTGAAAAAAGCAAAAAAATAATGTTTGCTGGCATAAATATTACAATCTGAAAATGTCTAGATCACCTAAATTATAAGAACTAACAATTAAGATATCAAGCAAATTATTTAATTATCTTTCAAAGTGTTTAACAATTATGACTTGAAAATGTCCAGATTTTCTCCAATACTTACACCATTATAAATAATCAAGAAAATTTGTACTATTCAAGTAAATTATTTTTTTTAATTAAATCTTTATTGTTCAGATTATTACATTAGTTCCTCTTTTTCCCCACCATAACTCCCCTCCACCCAGTTCCTACCCCACCCTCCGCCCTCACTCCCCACCCACTGTCCTCATCCATAGGTGCACGATTTTTGTCCAGTCTCTTCCCTCACCCCCCCACCCCTTTCCCCCACCAAGAATAGTCAGTCCATTCCCTTTCTATGTCCCTGATTCTATTACAATCACCAGTTCATACTGTTCATCAGATTATTTATTCCCTTGATTTTTAGATTCACTTGTTGATAGTTGTGTTATTTGTTGTTCATAGCTTGTATCTTTACCTTTTTCTTCTTCTTCCTCTTCTTAAAGGATACCTTTCAGCATTTCATATAATACTGGTTTGGTGGTGATGAACTCCTTTAGCTTTTTCTTATCTGTGAAGCTCTTTATCTGGCCTTCACTTCTGAATGATAGCTTTGCTGGATAAAGTAGTCTTGGTTGTAGGTTCTTGGTATTCATCACTTTGAATATTTCTTGCCACTCCCTTCTGGCCTGCAAAGTTTCTGTTGAGAAATCAGCTGACAGTCGTATGGGTACTCCCTTGTAGGTAACTGAGTTTCTTTCTCTTGCTGCTTTTAGGATTCTTTGTCTTTTGCTCTTGGCATTTTAATTATGATGTGTCTTGGTGTGGTCCTCTTTGGATTCCTTTTGTTTGGGGTTCTCTGCGCTTCCTGGACTTGGAAGTCTTTTTCTTTCACCAGGTAGGGGAAGTTTTCTGTCATTATTTCTTCAAATAGGTTTTCAATATCTTGCTCTCTCTCATCTTCTGGCACCCCTATAATTCTGATGTTGGTACACTTGAAGCTGTCCCAGAGGCTCCTTACACTATCCTCGCATTTTTGGATTCTTTTTTCATTTTGCTTTTCCGGTTGGGTGTTTTTTGCTTCTTCGTATTTCAAATCTTTGACTTGATTCTTGCGACGCTCTGGTCTGCTCTTGGGAGTCTGTATAATATTCTTTATTTCAGTCAGTGTATGCTTAATTTCTAGTTGGTTCTTTATCACAACATTGAGGGTCTTATTAGATTTTTTTGATGATCTCACTACATTTATCGGCGGTCTCACCAGTCTTCTTGAAGATCTCAGTACATTTATCGGCGGTCTCACCAGTCTTTTCGAGGGCCTTATTAAGTTTATCTGCGGCTTCTAGACAGTTCTTTAAAGACCTTAAAAGTGTGGTTTTGAACTCTATATCCAACAGTTTGCTTTCCTCCAATTCTGTCATTTGTGTCCTGTTTCTTTGTCTCGGCATTTTTTATGCTTCGCTGTGTCGATAAGAGTGCCTTTCTGTGCTGAGTGTCCCAATTACCTGAGGTAGACACTCTTGGTGCACCCCCTTGTGGGCTTTGTGCAGAGTCTTGTTGTAGTGAAGCCTTGATTGTTGTAGTTATCACTGTGAGGAATTGACCTCCAGGCCAATTGGCTGTGAGAATCAGCTGTGCTGGAGATACCCCTCTGGGGCTAGACTTGCTTCGATGGGGCTTTGGTGCTCACTGAGTCTGCCCCCTGAGTATGCCTTTTATGGTTCCATGGAGCTACAAACTGGATGGTCCCACTCTGACCTCTGGGCTTCCTGGCTCCTGGATCTCTAGGGAGGTGCTAATCTAGCCTTTGCCTGAGGCTATCCAGCAAAAGTCTCCCGGTTGGGCTTGGGTGGGGCGGGTCCCACGGGATCAACAGGGTGGGGTTAGCAATTATGGCTGCTCTCAGTCTTGCCCTCAGAGGCTCTGCTTCTCAGTGTCCCAGTAATCGCTGCAAGCCCCACGGAGAGAAAGCTCCCCTAGGGTTCTGAGCAATGCCAGACAATCCCGCTTCTCCTGTATGAGTCTGGGTCCCTAGAGACTCCCCCGGAACTGGAGCTCAGAGCCTGAGACTCCCTCCCGATTGAAACAGACAACCGCGCCCTCAGCCACCAGCCCGCTCCGCATGCACTGGGCACCTTAGTATTTTACTTCAGCATTGCACCTCCTCTGAGTCTCGGTATGCTTTCTCTTTCCTCCTAGTTGTAGAGCTTCCACTCAGCCAGCCTTCCTGTGGTTCTGGATGATGTCCGTTCTGTCTTTTAGTTGTATTTTTGAAGTGGTTGTTCGAGGCAGTAAACTCCGGTGTTTACCTATGCCGCCATCTTGGTTTCCCCTCAAGTAAATTATTTATGTCTCAAAGTTTTAAAAAAATTCTTAAGCATGGAAAAATTATTATTCAATTTATTACAAAAACTTCCTTCAAACCCACTAAAGAAGAGAAACTTCTATTTTCACATAGAAAGGAATCTGTTTATCATTGAAAACTTTAATCATAACTTAAAAAAATGAAACTAATTTAAAATAAGGTAACAAACCAAAACAATAATATGGCTTAAATAAAGATGACTTTTATCAATTCTATAAAGTGAACTTAATCCACCTTGCTTTGCAAAATAAAGGTGACTAAGGCAGATGCCATGCCCTCAAAAAAGCAGACTCTGGAGATAAAATCTCAACGTTTACAATGCAATGAAATAGGTGGGAAAACAGTAGTATAGTCCCAGAATAAGGGCCGAGAAAGTGAATGATTGCTATATGTGGATGCGGCAGCCGCTACGCTTTAAATAGTTATAAATGTAATTGATGAAATCTCATTTCATTTGATAGATGTTGGAAATGGAGCTTCTAATGCATTATTTATACTCACTGCTAAACTCTTTCATTCAGAAATTTCCCTCTTGGCATTTTCAATGGATTTACTCTGGATCAGCAAGCACTTCATTGAGGAACAAGTTTAATACATATAAACACATGCGTGTACACAGACGTGTACATGTATTCTCCTTGTATCCACACCTCCCCTTAAACAACACATTTTTATATAAAATGTTTTCTTGTGTTAGTAAACAAAAATACCTGTTACAGAGCTGGGTTCTCACACCAGAGATGCAAAAACAAAAATAGGAAAAATAAAGAACTAGCCTGAAACTCCTCGAGTAGGTAAACCTGCAAGGAAGGAGTTACACTTTGCCAAGGATGTTTATATTTTGGAATAAAAAATATTTTAAAAGTTGTATTTTAGGATCCAGAATATAAACAACTGGGATCCCCCAATTAACTCTACCTTTGTACTTTGTTTCTATTTTGCTAACAATGGAGAATTACCCCTACACACAGCCTACCTATGAGGGAATTACTCCATTTTAAAAATTGTTAGATTCTAAACACAAACCTTTGTTTCTTCATAGCCTAATTATATGACATTGCACCCTCAATATATTTTATGTGGAAAATAACACAATAACTTGTAAACATAAAAAAGATGGGAAGATTTTGATGTACACACCAAAAGTTAAAACAAACAAACATAGAGACTGACCTACTGGTATTGAAAGACTAAATGAAGATATTCTGTTCACCAGAAGTCTCTATCGTTTAGCTGTTACTATTTGGAGCAGAGGCTTGCTTTCCCTCTAAATTTAGCTCTCTCTGCCACATTATAATCTGCTCTAGTGAAGGTCAGCCTTTATAAGGCACTCACCGAAGCCCTGGCCACAG